CAATTGCTTCAAGCGGTTGCTTAACGCTTCGGGCGCTGCCAGTGCCTGGTCGAGTGTGTTGAGAGCCTGGGTGGTAGTCGTCTGGAAGGCAGCCCAATCCATGACGGGAAACTCTGGTCGAGCTTCATCGATGGTTTTGCGGATGGAAGCAACGACCGTTGCAAGATTGGGGTTTTGTTTGGCGGCACCTCTGATAAAGGCATCGAGGTGGGGGAGAGTATGGCTGGTGGTGCGCGTGGGCAAGAGCGGCTTGAGCCACTTTTCCACCGCCACCACAACAGAGGCCGTGGTCTAATGGAGGGTTGCGTGGTGCCATTGGTCGTGATTAGGTTGGATGAGGCCGTGGGAATTGGGGTAGTAAATGCATTGGGAAAACAAGATCGGGGAGCAGGCTCACCTCGAGGGTGGGGGTGGTGGGCAGAGGCGGTAGCCAGGCGGGAGGCGGTGCCGGCGTGGGCGGAGCGAGGGGTGCGGATGGTTGTGATAGGCGAGCCTCGTGAGCAGCAAACACGGGCTCCAGCTTGTCGCCATGCCCGTATTGACGTCCGAGATCAAGGGGCGTTTTGCCATGCTGAGAACATGTGATTGGAGCGTGTGAGGTGGGCAGCACGCGCATTTGCTTTTACATAACAAAGGCGAGGTGACAATGCTTTGAAGTGGGCCGAAGACGCCAGACGCGCGAGTGGTGTGCAAATGGTGCGGGCAGGTAGCAGGGGTCCGAACGGAGGCGCGCTTGGAGAGAGGAAAAAAAAAAAAAAGGAAAAGGCGCGTGTGCCGGGGGCAAAAGTCAAGGCGCGGTCACCGAGAGCCGCTTGGGCGAGCGAGGGAGGCAGAGGCGTGATGGCAAGGGGTTGGGGATGGATCAGAAAAAGGGGAGAGCGAAAACGGCAGGCGGAAGAGACAAGTGGGGCGCGGGGAGCACCGACAACGGGCGGACGCAAAACGGGGGAAGAAGAGGGATAGCGGGAAAGAAGCAAAGGAGCCAGGGGTGGAGAACGGGCGCGCACGGATGGGCAGGGTGTAGCGGAGAGGAGGGACGGGGGCAAAGGCGACGGGGCAGCGGGAGCAGGAGCAGCAGCCAGAGGGGTAAAGGGGGGAAGAGGGAGGTACTGTACTGACGTCGTCCTCGGCTTTAGCATCAGCACCGTACTGCAACAGCATCTCCACCACCTCGACATGACCGTTACCGCAGGCCATGTGCAGTGGTGTATAGCCATACTGTGGGATGATGCATCAGCATGACGTACAGCATCATCATCATCATCATCATGGGGTACAGGTGCACCATCATAGGGGGGGTAAAGGGAAGAAGAGGGAGGTACTGTACTGACGTAGTTCTGGGCTTTAGCATCAACACCGTGCTTCAACAGCATCTCCACCACCTTGACACGACCGTTTTGGCAGGCCCAGTGCAGTGGTGTCCAGCCAACCTGTGGGATGATGCATCAGCATGACGTACAGGTACAGCATC